GTATGTAATGCTGGTACCCTTGCCTGCTTTGCCCCGTTATCGCACGTCTGCGCCTGCTAACGCCTGAATGACAGGAAACTATGGCACGAGCCGGTCCACAGGCGCGATCCCAAGAACGAGACGCCAACAGAAAAGTCATGTTACCATTTCCTCAACATGACGTCGCGGTCATTCGCTGCAGTCATCCTGGAGCTGAACCCTGAGCTGCTCCTACCTGTCTGCCTATTCTACCTCGTCCTACGAGGACTCGACACGATCGAGGACGATATGACCCTAGACATCAAGGTGAAGGAGCCACTACTACGCAACTTCAGGCAACACATGGAGACGGACGGCTGGACCTTCAACGAGAGCGGCCCGAACGAGAAGGACCGCGAACTGTTGGTGCACTTCGACGACATTATTGTCGAGCTGAAGAAGATGAAGAAGCCATACTACGACATCATTGCCGACATCGCCACCAAGATGGGCAACGGTATGGCCGACTACGCCTTGGACGCCGAGTTCAACGAGCAGGGAGTCCAGACCGTCGCGGACTACGAGCTCTACTGCCACTACGTCGCCGGACTGGTCGGCGATGGCCTGACACGCCTATTCGTCGAGGCCAAGCTAGCAAACCCCATCCTCCTTGAGCGACCGGATCTTACCGAGAGCATGGGCCAATTCTTGCAAAAGACCAATATCATCCGCGACATACACGAGGACCAACTGGACAAGCGGCGCTGGTGGCCCAAGGAGATCTGGGGCAAGTACGTCGACAACTGGGACGACCTCTTCAAGCCAGAGTACAGGGACAAGGCGCTAGAGTGCAGCTCCGAGATGGTCCTGAACGCACTGAAGCACGCTGACGAATGTCTACACTACATGGCTGGCATCCGGGACCAGAGTGTCTTTAACTTCGTTGCCATTCCACAATCCATGGCCATCGCCACGCTTGAGCTAGTGTTCCGGAACCCGGCCATTTTCGAGAGCCATGTCAAGATCACCAAGGGCGACGCCTGCCAGCTCATGAACGACTCGACCCAGAACCTACGAGTGGTGTGCGATGTCTTCCGGAAGTATGCCAGGAGGATAGCCAAGAAGAACGATCCTCGTGACCCTCACTTCCTGGCTATAAGCGCGGCGTGTGGCAAGGTAAGTGATGCGCTCCTTGCTGCGGACGTTCCAAACAGAGATAGCTTTGCTAAAATTCGTGCAGATCGAGCAAAAGATCGATACCATGTACCCCAGGCAGGACCCGAAGAAGATTGGCAGCGCGAAAGACGCACCTCAACAGGAGCCTGGAATGGATACGAAGGAAGCAATCTTCTTGATGCTCGCCGTCGTTGGTGTGCTATTGCTTGTCGGTGGTTTGATGGTTCGTTTGTCTCCACTACCACTGGTCGGGCCGTCCATGCGCCGGCATGGCCCTAATATTAAGTGGATAGCGCTGACTTTTACATACAGGTTGGGAGCGCGTGGCTTCTCGGTGCAAAATTCGACCAGGCTTTCCGCAGTTACGACAAGATGATCAAAGGTGGTAACACGCACCTCAACACCCCTACCGGCCACACCCTACCAACAGGTCGTGACGAATTGTAACGTACCTGCAAGGAGTTGTTGCGCATGGTTGCTTCCCTGCTTCTGCTTTGGTACAATGCGATGAATTCGGATGCGCTTGTGCCCGATGTTGGGATTCCTGAGATCTCCTGTGGTCGCGAGACCAGGCGGTCTGTTTATACTAACTATATATCTTAATACACTCGAGATACCTTATTATTTGACCATAGTACCTGACCAGAAACCCTATTTTCCGGATCGCGGACGAGACACCATGTCTGATCAACTCTTGAATGTCAGCCCGAAGATGACTTACCAAGGTCGGCAGATTGCCACAAATACAAGCACGGATGTCAAATTGCAATTCGGTCGCCCATTCTGGGTTTTGATGACTGTTGTTGTGCCGAAGATGTGCTGATATCAACGCCATTGCGAGAAGCCTGGAATCCGGGCACGCCTCAGACGAGATGTAGACTTTGGTCTGTGATAACTTGTCGAAGGGTGGATTGCACACATTTCAATCATATTAGCTACTGTCCTCTCTGTAGAATGGAAGCCGACCCAGAGAGATATGATTCCAAAGAAACACGGGAGCGCATGATGACTTCTCAAACCCTATGTGCAACGGTGTAATATCTCTCATGTTCCATGTAAAGACCCCGATATTCGAGATCTTAATAATGACCATCAAACACCAGGGACCCCTTTTTTGCTGACCCTACCTCACTGACCTGGACGGCACGAAAGCGCTTGGAACAGGCCAGCCTGCGCCGGCGATCATGTTTGTACAAACAGCCGAGAGGCGGCACCAGGTCCTCCGAGCTTACCTGTCTCGCTCCTCTCTGCACTCTGAACTCGGGCTCAGTGGCACATTGCTATCCAATAGTCTGTGTGGGATTGTTCCTCGATGTCTAAGCTCGACGGCAATATCATCAGTCAGAACGTCAAGCTCCAGTCTGAACCACGTCGGACCTGATGATCCAGTATTTTCGGGATGTTGAACCATCCTCGGTTCTTTCCATGTACAATGGCCATGGCCAAGTCTATCTCGATCGCTAGATACCGAATGCAAGATCGTAATATATATGCAAAAAAGGACCTGTAAATCCTGCCTTCAACAACTCAACAACTCCTCCAACAAGATCACGCTTCCAATAGCCCCTCACAAATTGCCATTATTAGCAATCAGATTCGTCGTCCCCCGCGCGTTGTTCTTGACCGTCGCCCCGGTGGCCTGCGCAAGCTGCTGCATCCTGCGCACCACAGCATCGACATTGGTGAGCCCTTCCAGCGCCATCAGATACGCCGCCAACCCCGCAACATGGGGACTCGCCATGCTCGTCCCGCTCAGCGTCGCGCTGGCGGTATCGCTTGTGATGCCGACGCTCTGCACCCCGACGCCGGGGGCAAAGATGTCGACCCCGCGACCGAAATTGCTGAAGGAGGCCTTGGCGTCGGTCTTCTGGTCGATGGCGCCGACGGTAATGGCTGCGGGAGCGGATCCGGGGGAGGTATTGGCCGTGTCCTGGTTCTCGTTTCCGGCCGCCACGACGGGGACGACGCCCGCTGCGGTGAGGGCGTTGATGGCGTCGTTGATGGCGCGGCTGCGGCCGCCGCCTAGGGACATGTTCATTACCGCCTTACCGGCGAGGTTGGAGGCTGTTACGTTGGAGACGACTGAGAGGTTGTTAGTACCCTGGTGAGGTGCGAGAGCGAGGAGGTCTGGCGGGGCTTACCAAAGTTCATACCGGCCAGGACGCCCGAGTTTGTGCCCGAGCCGTCGGCGTCGAGGACCTTGACAGCAACAAGGTTGACTCGCTTGGCTACGCCGAAGGTACGACCGCCGATGGTGCCTGCTACGTGACTACCGTGGCCGTTTTCGTCGGTGTCCTATGCAACCACGGATCAGTCTCTCATCTGAGTCAACCACCAAGTCGGCAAGCACTCACAACATCATTCACGAAATTTGCCGCAAACGTAGCCCGTCCCTGAAACTCGGAATGCGAGACCAAAATACCCGTATCGACCACGAAGGCAGTAATCCCCTGTCCCGCAGTCGAGTCAAACACATAGCCCGCCTCCCCAGCATCGGCATGGCTGAGCCTAGCCAGCCCGCTCGTCGCCTGGCCCTGCGTGCTGAGCGCGTTCAGCCTCACTCGCGTATCGGCCTCGATGTACGAGACCTCGTCCGCGTCGAAGATCTGGTTCATTGTGCGGTCGTCGGCCTCGAGGGCCATGGCGTTCCAGGTGCCCAGGCGGAAAGTGCTGACCTTGGTCGAGAGGGCGCGGCCGTCGAGGCTGCGCTTGCCGACGTTGGACTTGGCGATCTTGGCTATCCATTTGGACTGGTGGGTGGTTATGGCTTCCTCGTCGAAGGTGCTGTTGTAGACCACTATGAAGCGGTTTGCGACGACGTCGGACTCGGAAACTTCTGGGTTGGAGACGGGAACGCCCATGAAGTGGCCCTTGCGGGGACTCGGGGCGGCTTGGGTGAGGGTGAGAAGGGAGAGGAGGACGGTAATCAGTTTGGTTGCCATGGTGAATGTTCTTGTTGTAGGAGTTTTGTTACGAAATGGTGGCAGAAACTAGGCGGGAGTAGAAGGAATGTGTATATCTCTTGGACTGGCTCTGCTAACAGGCAAGGTGGGTGAAAGGAGAGGCTGTGGTGACGATGTTAAGTCAAGATCGACCACATAAACGATGGTATGCTCAGCAAGGTAGAAGTGAATAAGAAAAGGAAGGGATAAGATCTACTGCGCCCTGACCCGAACCAAGAAGACTAAAGAAGAAGAGAGTCAACGCTGGTTGACTTACACAATAGGAGTCGAGGCCAGCGGCTCCTATTTATTCAGCCAAACAATACCAGGCAGTAACCGGAGGGGGAATCAGACCTTTGGCCAAGCCAACAATAGGCCTGGGGCAGGGACTCAGCATAGTGGAACCAAGGGGATTTCCAGTTCGACAGTCATTTGATACAGGGAGTTCGCGAACTGGAACGAGGTGTAACGATACAAGCGCTACTCCAGCGATTGACGCCAAGTCAAACAACACGGCGTGGTGACCCTGGCCCGCCAAGCAGCACATTAACGTCGCTGGCCACGTAAGTGTGCAATGCCACTCGGCGATTGACGAAACAGGCACTAGCAAGCGTGGTATTGGGAGATCTCAAACATTGCGATGTGAGAGATACAAAAGCCAAGTATGAAGGGAGGAAAGTGGAGGAGGTTGAAGATAGCTTCAATCGAACCTGGAGATTGAGCTTCCGCTGTCATTTTTACTTGCGGCTCAAGACTAATTCTCCGGTAGCCGTTGGGAGCCACAGCACGTTGAGATTAGCCATCGGCATAAAGAGCGCATGATAGATCGCCCTTGGTTCCTCTCGTCCCCTGAGGAGCCGATTGTCGCTGTTTGGGCACAAATGAGTGTGAAAGGCAAAAAGAAAAAGAAAAAAAAAAAAGATGTGACAAGAGTGGGATTCGAACCCACGCTCCTTTCGGAACTGCAATGCCAAATTTTCTTTGGAAAGATAGTTCTTGAGTGCAGCGCCTTAGACCGCTCGGCCATCTTGCCATTGGTTGTATATATGATCTGAGCTGTTAGATGTGTTCGTAAGCTTACTGCGGGACTGAGCTCAGGGTTAGCATACAGGCCCGCCCCTAACGTGCTAGTCATTACATAGAAGTATTAGGATCTTCGGACCATGGCAGATCTGTACAAAAGCAGGAGAGGCGCCACTAGAGGTGAGTTCCTTTACTCCAGCCATCATGCAGACACAGCTTGGTAAGTTTTGACGAAACCTATCAGAGTGTATCCGACAGCCTTTTAGACTGAGCAGAGAAGGTGTCACGGGGAGTGCTTTTGGATGAGGCTCAAAGGTCCGTAAGGGGCCCTTATCAAATGTGGTAAAGCGGCGTACTCGGTTTGTTTGAGGAGGTCGTCTATCTAAGCTAAGGGGAGAGACATGAATCTGATATGGGGCATAACAGTAGCTGTGTTGTCGTGGATCAACAGAGCCACTAATGAAGCTGGTGTCGCTGGAAGAAATGTGTCTTTGCGCTAGGGCAAGCTTGAGCATTACAAGGTTCACAGCATCGTCACACTGGAGACATTTGGCAGGCATCTGTCGGACGGTCTGCCAGAAGAGGACTGGGTGCAACGTAAAGGAACAGAGTGCTGGCGTGGCCTCCTGCGAAATTCATGTTTCTAAAATGCCAAGTGAAGAACATGTTGTTGTATGTCAAAGGGGTCTTGTAGCGGGGAAGCTGTCGGATTGGCGCCCCATGTGGGGATTAGATAGGCGGCTGAAACCAGCTTCTTGTTACTTGTACAGGTGTTTCATTAGGTACCTTAGTTACCTAGGCTAAGGCAGTGCAAATGACCATGAAAACGATCATGGAGATGACTATGATGCAGCTGAGGAGACAAAGACGAAGCAAGTCAAGCCGAGCATACGATTCCAGAAGCAGAAAATTGGGACGAAACGGAACGACAGTGGGTAGGGTCTTTGAGGTGCCTTAACGCTATCCGACAACCATCTGATCCTGCTGATCCTGCATGAGGAAAACATGTGAGATGTTCGGATATCAACCGCAGGCCATCGATAGTTGCGCTTAGAACGAGGTTCGGCGTCACATAGTATAACTCAAGGTTATGTATGGCGGTATGTATGGGCGGTCTGCTTGCGTCGTCCCCGGACTACATCGAGTCGATTGAGTTAAAGGGCGACACACGATGCTTGCAGGCAAGCCGCAGACTTCACCACTGGGGGTTTATAAAAGCGTCACAGGCACCTGACGCCCGACATTGTTAGAGGCAGTGAAGAGAGGATACGAGAACTGGTGTGTCCGTCCATGTCAGAGTGTCGTACTGACTGTTGATAGTCCTCGTGGAGGAGAGTCCAGATGTAGTAGATGCGCGGGCTGTGGCTGTGGTGGGGGCGGCTAACTCAGCGGGTTCAGCTTGTGTAGAGGGTGCGATGTGGCTGAAATCAATTTACGCGGTGCTGTCGTGAAGCGGGAAGGCAGTGCCAGGTCGTGTCCTGTCTCAAATGACCCTCATTAAAAAAGAAGCACACTTTCTCAGATTCCTCCCGCCAGGCTGCACCACCGTTCCTCGCACCGGCCAGCTTTCAAACACCGTGATCCCTTGACTACGACGTATCACGATCAGTATAGGCTCTAGAATCACCACTTCGTCCCATAACACCGTCCGGTTCCGTCCTAGACATCAGCCATCCAAGCAAAGGTAATCTTGATTGACTTGGTGGCCTGCCATCTGTCGGCAGTCGACCAATCGGTTCTCTCTGCGACCACTGCTGGCGCGCGGCCGCACCCCAACGATCACCGCCCAACCCAAACCCGACATACCTCTCCCTTCCACGACCGACTCTAGTCCTTCCGATACCGAGCTTATTTGCATACCGTAATATCTGGGTTGCAGCATCGCTGGGCATTGGTACACCGGATCCGGTGTCATAAGCCAGCCTTGGCTGGTCCACGCTGGTCAGCTCGCGTGCCCTCGATCTAGCAAAGAATCCTACTGAATCTGCTCTTTGAACCAGCTACGACTCGCGGCACGAGACCCTCATGCCATGAAACTCTCTCTGGCGACTTAACATTCTGACCGGCTCAGTCCAATGTTGTCCTCAAATCTACCCCACGTCCGCGAGGATGCACCGGCCGATGACGCCTTATCCATCGGTACCAGTCGTCTTCCACGACACGAGCGAGCCATGTCGATAGACAGGGACGAGGAAGATGAAGGGAAGGCCACCGTTGAACTTGCTTCTATAATGACGACAGCCTCGAATCCCGTCTCGCCAGGGCCTTCGAGCCCGCCTCTAGACCAGAGTCGGACACAGGACTTTGTCCCCCCCGCTCGACCTAGCAGCACACCCTTTCCACAACCAGAATACCGAACCGACATACAATGCTTGACCTGTCCTGCGGATGATATGACGGGCTTGGAGGAGTCAGGGACAAGTGAGATACTCGACATGCCCGCCCCGTTCCCCACAGAGCCTGCCCGGATGAGCTTGAACGACCTACCAGCCGAGATTCACGAATGTGTACTGGACCATCTTTTCGGCTTTCGCGTGTCAACGACGTCCAAGAGCAGTATTGTGCGATGGGGTACAGCTCTGAGGCATTCACGGCGGAAGGAGCTCTCCGAGTTAGCTCTGGTCAGTCCTGTTTGGCGGGGCCTCATACAAGAGCGTCTGTACCGGCATATCAAGATCAAGGCCACTTCAGACAGCATGCAGGACTTCTTAGCTTGGTTCGTGATGCACGAACACTTACGGCCATACGTCAAGCACGTGGAGTTATGGTTCCCGGTCTTCGAGCCAAAATACAGCCTCCAAACCTTGGCGAGTCTCAATACGTTGCCGACAGTGACTGTGGACGGGCTGACACAGACCTCGTACACGCTACCAGCGGACAACTGCTCTTTAGAAGATGCCCTCGAGGTGATTGGCATGATGCTCCCCGAGGTTTGCGTTTTGACTCTGGAAGGAGGAGAGCGGAAGAAAGCGCCGAAAGTCAGGTTGACTAGCCTCCATGTTGAAGGTAGCACCTGGTTGAACAATGGACTGCCCCATATGCCTAAGCTCCACTCGGTTCGTACGTTGGTCACCAAGGGCCAATGGAATCTTATTCGCAGCGACAGGGACTTCGAGGTGCTCGTGTCCTCGCTACCGAATCTGGAAGAATGGCACGGCTATTACAGCAAGCCCAAGTCCAAGAGCTATCTCACCATGGCTACCATCTTGCCGAAGCTGCCAGCGAACCTTACCACCTTGGGACTGTGCATTGAGGGTGACTACCGGCGAGAACTCAACTTCCCACCCTACTTTCTCAAGGTGTCCAATAAGCTGCATTTCTGCAAGATGCTGGCTGATGCAGCACCAGCTCTTGAACACATGTCCTACACTGGTCGTGTCTGCAGGGTGTTCTTCGATCTCGTCGCTCTTCAGACGGATCCTCGGACCACGAAGCTCAAGTCTATCGACCTAACGGTGAAGAACTGCTGCCGTCACGTAACTCACTGGAACGAGTCGGGCTCAGGTATTACTGACATGAATTTCATAAAGGCTTTTGAGAGTCTTGTGATATCCGGTATCCGGTCCCTTACGAAGCTGAAAGCGCTGGAGTACCTGCGGATTCGATACGTGGATCTAGGTATGTCGCCGGTTCTTAGCTCTCTGATATCTGCTAACAATTCCTCGATCAGACTCCCCAATACCACAACTGAATCCCTTCTTCACGCTTCGAAAGGACCTCGCTCAGGGCGTCTGGAGCAGCGAAATTGTGGGAGAGCTCAGCCGCGCCCGTCCAGGAGCCGGCTTCGAGTATCTCGATGACACTTTCGGCGAGATTGTGGTCTCCAAGGACGGCCGCTACATCGTCAATCCCAATCACTCCAAGTCGAAAGTCACCTCGCTCAAACTGGACAACTACGCTCTGCTGACGGGCGTCCAAGCGGTAGCGGGTGGCGGCATCTCGATAACTTAGTCGGAGGACCGGCCGTCCCTGTCCGCCCTTCTTGAAGCGTAGTCGCTCCCCGGTCAATGCCACGCAAGTCCGCCTTGTCTTGGGAGCTCTGCCGCCTCACCCAGCTTTTGAGAGCCGGGCGACCCTGACTTCCCACTCTATGCCTCCCTCCGCCAGTGGGCGTCACGGCAGGAGTATGGAAGCAGCCAGACACAAGAGGAGACACTACGGCTGCGGAAGGTTGGCATACTGCTTTCGAGGCGGAGCAAGCTTTTAATACACTTGCGCTGAGGTACGACTCTGGCAGGTCAACACAGTGCGACCTGTGAAAGAGATGGTGGCTCTGCGGGACGGCACTACTCCATGCGGTCCCGACCACTACGGGCGATACAATACCGACTGATTTCCATTAGCGTCGTCTGCTTTCCTTATGTTACGCTTCTGCTTTTGATTTCTCAGCATGGCGTTGGTTGTGCAATGTTTTTGCGGGCTTGGTGTGAGGGTAATAGACGGCGTTCTCGGTGTTTTCTGCGAGATTTCCTCTGCCACGTCTCACGGTCAACACTTTTTCGATCTTGGAGTTCAATGTTGGAGGGGCACGGGCAGCATCATGATCGTATCTTGGTCGGGTAATGTGTGCTGTACTGGTCGGTTGACAGCTCCAGCAAGCCATGCTTGGGGCAAAAAGCTGTGTCTTCTGGAGGTTCTAGAGGGATACCGCCTGGTCATGGATGTGACTGGCTGTCGAAAGGATTTATTGGAATCAAGCAGTGCTGGGATTTGTACCTTGAAAGTTTAGGTCAGGAAGGTTTCGTGCTGGTTCAGGTCCGGCAGCGCGGCCATGCGTCAACCAGACAAGGCGGTCATCAGCGAAGCATAATCTCCACAGGTCTTCATTTCCCACAGACCTGACCATAATTGAATTCCAAGCGTTATTTCACATTGATCTATCCAAAGCTATGAGATTCATAGTGAGCATCTTGGTTGTAAACTCTGGCCCCGTTGACCGTCATATCACAGGAACACCGGTCTGCCATTCTACGTCTTCAATTCTCCGTCCCATACACACTGTCAACTTCC